CATCATCTGATTTACGCATGCTCAACTCTTCAGCATCACGGTTATCCTACCATGGAAGAGAAAGTAGAACGCTGTACATGAAGTTAACTATGAATTTTTTCTGTGTTGGTGTAGTGTACTCAGGTGAATATGATATTTGTGGTGTTACTCTGAGTGTATATCCACACCGGGCGAGCTTGAAAAATATGCCTGGCCACGGTGGGATTCGAACCTACGACCTTTGGAATACTAGCCCAATATCCAACAGGATGCTTGATAGGTCTGACCGTGCATGTTTTCCGTTGTTGACGTTATACATTTCTCAAATTCATTAATAATTCATGAGCAATTCAGCCAATGATAATCACCTATTTGATCACAAGATGCCATTTGGATAACCCGGTGAAACTTGATGAAAGTCACTAGTGTTTTCATCAAATATCTTAATTACGCATGCAAAATTACTTGAGTAGAATTCCTAATTACGTTATGCTTGGTTAAGAATTCTATTCAAATCAGCAAACGGAAACATTCTGTCTCGATTCATTTGAGAAGCCATATAAACAACTCGAGCTCGTGTCTCACCGGTAAAACACTCGCTCTCGTTGTTCATATATTACATACAATATGGTATTTATTTTGTACAGACTCCTGAAGAAGTTGCTCAACAAGCTTGTGATGCTGATGTTCATGTGGTTGGAATTAGTACCCAGGCCGCTGGACATAGAACTCTTGTCCCTCAACTGGTAGAAGCCTTGAAGGCAAAGGACAAAAGGTGTGTCTAACGTTCTCATTGTGAAATACACATTGCCAAAAACAATAAAATACTATCCAACATTCAATTTATCTTGAGGTTCACTAACGAATATATCCGAACGTTTTCCTAGAGATATTTAACTTTTTAAAACATGTACATGTAGGCCTAAATAAGCTTAGGACGTGACTGAAGTTGCATGCCAACTATTCGAAGAAGCGCCAGAAAGCAATATTAAATGTTCAAGCTATGTCGGAGATTATGACAGTACCACACTTTCAGAACTTGTGAAGCAAACCCCCTAAAAGTGCAAAAATATTCTGACATCATCCACCTAAAAATATCTCTATCTACACGTCCATACAATTTGAGCCGACGAAATAAATCCTCTAACTGTTCTTTCACAGAAAGTAATCAACTATCTTGTTAAATGTTTTCATACTGTGTTCATCAGAACAAAGATACTCAGCTAGATTAATGCATGGCTCCGTTCACGTATTGACCTTTATGCACCATGCGGGAGACGCGCGTGTTTTGACACCTTAATTTCGTCATTTCGTGGGCGCAATAAGGTTTCAAAATGTCTTCCTGAAAGAACATCACCGACGAAAACGATTACCTCCATTAGTCGCTATTTACTGCCAAAATATTTGACGTCATATATTTATTTCCTCAAACATATGCAGGATGTATTTAACATCATACAAGACAGAATAAAAGTTAATCAGCATTCATGTTAACCTGTCTAACTGTCAATTAAGCAAGGTGCTTAATTTAATGTATATCGAGAAATTAGGGCACCACTTATTTCTTTTAAAACCTGACATTAATTATTTACAGGAACATACTCGTGGTTTGTGGTGGAGTAATTCCGCCGCAAGATTATGATTTTCTCTTTGAGAAAGGCGTTGCTGCTGTTTTCGGTCCAGGTATGTTTTCACGTTAATTTGATCTTTTAAATTATATGTTCAAAAGCTGTGTAAATCGAACAGTGGTTTGATTGACACCTTTCGCCTCCAACACAGTCAACACTGCAAATTGCAATCACAAACATTGACATCACAGACCTAATTCAGACTCCAACTCTCGCAAAATATCTCAAGAAACGGTTTTTGGATTGAGGGTGTAACAGACACTACCGCTACCGTTACCGTTACCATTAACTAATCAGATGCATATATTATTCTACCCAATTAAACAATTAAATGTGTTGAGAGGTGATGTTCGTTCATTTGCACTTGAAATCTCCAGAGTTGTTTCTACAATTATATATACAGTACTCTCCCAAACACCACAAACTTTCTTCCGTGTACTCCAACAGGCCTTAAAATATCTTTTACAGGGCCGTCTGACAAAATGTCCGATGACGTTAAGTTTGGGTCGGACATATGTGCGAATAGTCCGATGACCTTCAGTTTTGACTTCGAATAAGTCTGAATGACACGTCAAATGAATATCAGCACAATGTATTAATTCTGAACGGTAAATGTTATGAAGATATTAAATAATTCGTTTCTTTCATACTTATTTCCAAGCCAAAATTAACTTGCTTTCCAGAGCAGCAGTATTAAAAAAAGACTTCGACAACTTAAGCCCGTTTTCCTCTTCACTATTTCGCTCGCCACCCCACGCTCGACTATGCTAAAACAACATTTCCAGTTCACCTTCTATACAATAGTACTCCGATTTTCCATTTAATATATACAAGCCTCTAGTCCTGGGCTAGGGTACATTTTGATTTACGATGGACAAAGCTACATTTCGGTCGGACACCAATTCACTCGGGTCGGACAAACAATAAACCTCAGTTTCACTTAGGTCGGACAGAATGTCCGGTGGTTTCCTCTCTACGTCGGACAATTTCACGAATGGGTCGGACAATGTCCGTGACCGACCGATATTTTAAGGCCTGTTACGTACATTTTAGTTTGTACTTTTTAGTCTTTTCACCTACTCAGACTTATATTGTTCCATTTGTTGTCGAGCATTGAGCCGTGAATTTTCACCATTCAACTCCGTCTTGAGCCAGAATATTCTTACCAAGTGTGTCCTTGCTAGTGTATCATGGAAGTCTTTTTTCACGTTTTTTTTCCTTGTAATGACCGCTCTAACACTCTTCCTGTTCGGAGGTTTGTCATCCTTCATCATCACATCCGTCCGGCATACTCTCACACCTCCTCGCTGGTAAACTAGTCCACCCGAAATAATAGTTTTATCTTTCTCAAACCTTTATGGTGGAATGCTTCGATTTTCTTATTGTCAGATCACTTTTCACTCAACTTACCTTTTCATTTCTAGTATATATTTGCTGACACTACAAACAATGTCCTACTCATTTCAAAAGATGACTGTAAAACCCTTACGTCTGTTTCGCTCAGCTTCAAACCATCGGATATAACATTTCATAATTCGAAGGACAATGGACTTCTGGCATATGATGATGAAACACAAACGGTTAGTAAGCCATTCTGTATTTTTAGTTTGCCTTGTCATTTGTAAATTGTTGCTCAATGTACGTCTATGAACAATTGAACTTTATTAATCTTGCCTGTTGTCACCATTCCGTTTCTGACTTGTCCCCAGTCGTCTCTTATTAAAAAGCACACTGTACGTGCATTGATATGTACTTTTATAATATAGCATTTGTAAATTCTGAAACGCTGATTGGCTAAGGGCCGTGTTGATATAACTCATTGTCAACACGGAAAATTTCTTTCGTTATATTTCTTTGTGCTATATTATAAAAAAAATAAAACATTTTCCGTATTGATATACAGTTATATTAACACTCGTGGAAATTGAGAGAACTCGAAATTGTGTGCAAACACTCCGCCCTCGGGGCGTCGTGTTTCCACACAATTTCTCGTTTTCCCAATTTCCACTCGTGTTGATATTTATCACTTATTTACTGAGACCGAGGGAAACAGTGTGTTTTGTGGACCCGAGACCGTCGTTGTTGCCAGAGGCGAAGCCGAGGGCAACAACGGCGGTCGAGGGGCTGCAAAACACACTGCTTTCCCGAGGTCTCAGTAAATAAGTGTTTTGTTATTTAACAAATATAAAACATTTTTCGTGTTGATATACAGTTATTATCAACCCGAGTGGAAATTGGGAAAACGAGAAATTGTGTCGAAACACGACGCCCGAAGGGCGGAGTGTTTTCACACAATTTCGAGTTTTCCCAATTTCCACGAGTGTTGATATAACTATATTTATCACATACTTGTACCTTTATCAGGTAGGAAGCAGCGGGACATAAAAACGATATCGTCCCGGATAT